TTTAGTATCTTGAATTCTTCCTTGTGCTTTGGCTTCTCTATGCTCCAGTGCAATCTTCAGAGTTTCTTCTGACATGCATTTTGGTCTCTTCTTCCTCTTCTGTCTTTGTAATGACCGTTTGCACTCTTCCTGGATGATACATTTGACATCTCCCACAACTCATCTGGTTTTTGCTCATTAGTGTTCAAGGTCTCAAACCTGTTCCTGAGATGATTCTGAAATTCAGGTGGTATGAAATCAAAGTCATATTTTGGCTCCTGCGGATTCAGTTTAATTTTCCTCAGCTTCAGCTTGAACTTGCATATGAGTAGTTGGTGGTCTGTTCCAGAATCAGCTCCTGGCCTAGTTTTCACAGCTGATAATGAGCTTCTCCAGCAGTTTTTTCCCACAGATGTAATTGATCGGATTCCTATGCATACCATCAGGTGAAATACATGTGTACAACCTGCGTTTAAAAAACCCTGTTGTTGGTTTGTGCCACTGAGTTGGAACCAACCCACAGGTGACGTCCCAGCGTGTTTTCAGAGGCAGAACACTGCACAGGAGATTGTCCAACTTTCTCCCAGGGAGCAGCTGGTGGATTTGAACCATGTGGCTTCAATTCTGTAGCATAGCTCCTTACCACCAGAACTCTCCACTTGTGCAAATGGGTATTTGCACAGCTGCTCACCAAAAGGTGGGAGGTTCGGAGGAAAGAACTGACACTTTGCTTCTGAAAACCCAAGTCACTAGACCCTGGGGAGTGTAGCTGCACTCTGGCACTCACGGGGTTACTGGGAGAAGGAAGTGACCGGAAAGTATTGGTTCCCTCATCCACGTACAATATTTTTAATATATGATCTATGCAGAGAAAAAAAAATTCTAGGACTCTTGTTTGCTTTCCTCCTTTGGAAGCCCACCCCCAACTTAGAAAGGAAGGGAGCTCTAGATGACAGGTACACCCAGAGCCTCGAGGGGATGGGTGGTGGTGGTGGTAAGGGCAGAAGCAGAGGTGGGACAACTTCTAAGCCTGGTGAGATAGTGATGTCCTAAGTGAGGAGACTGGTTCCTTCTAGAAGGAGCTCTGGGATTCCCCCCCAGTACACCCTGAGTGCCTGCTTGGAGAGTCCCAACATTCACTTTCCTCCTTCCCTCCCACTGAGGCACTAGGTGGGATCCTGTTGCCTACTTTTCAGATCCTCTTGTCTTACTGACTCTCCCTGTCCCCAGCAACACTCAGACAGAGGCAGGAAGCTTTCTTCTGCTTAGAGTGGGCCCACTCTTATGGGGGCAAGAGGAAGGAAGGGGTGCACCAGAATCTTGCAAAGGCATGACACCCAGCTTTTGTTCCTAGCCACAAAGCCAGGACAAACCACTCATTGTGGCACTTTGTAAGCCATAAGGGAGATCTTAGTCTTTTTTTATTTTTTCCTTAAAGGTTTCTTTCACTTTGCTCCACTGCATTATCTCTTTGGACCGTAAAACTGCTTTTTGAAATACAGCAAGCTAGGAAGAACGAGGCACTCAGCGGTGTCTGTGTAGGAGCCGCACTGCAACCCAGAGCCACATTTCTAGTGATTCCAACACATAGCAGCTCCCAGAGAGAAACATGGGCGATGTTCCGTGACATTCACAGCCTCAGAACCCACTGGAGGGCCACATGTGAATCCTTTTGTGCGCTCTCTCTCTCCATGTATGTAGATCTAGCTGTGTGTTGAGGGAGAGTGTCTGTATCTGCCATGGATGTTTGCCAAACCATTTAAGCTGGTTACTCTGGGTAGCCTGGCAGCCTTGAAACCTAGGCTGGCTGATCTTAGATAAGCCCTGCCAACTTTGGACCTGAGTGTCCCTATTTTAAAATAGGTGAGGTTAGGCTCAACCATTTCCAAGACTTTTTCTTCTAGATGTCATTTCCTTGACTCAGGATTTGCATTCTCTCCCAATAGATTAGGTTTGGGTTTAACTTTGTTCAGTGACACACGTTACCAAGACAACCCTTCACCTCAAAGCCCTGAGCTGAGGACAGACCCCAGTGAGGACAGAGCAGTAATGTACTCCCTCCACCCCACCTCGTACTCATTCTTGCACAAGAAGAAGCTGGGAGTCCTTTTTTAAAACAGCCAGGTTCTGATCTTTCTTTTCCCAACCAGGCAGCTGCTGGGAACGACGTCTCAGCAATTAAAAAACTACATCCTAAAGCATCGGTCAGCAAGGCCCAGGATCCAGCGTGTGCTGAGGCTGAAGGAGCTGGGTAGACCCTGGTACACCAAGAGGAAGCTCCCTTTGCTCAAGGCTGGCAACTTGGAGGATCACCCTGCTGATCTCTCAGGTGATCTGCTTGCTGCTCAAGGTCAGCAAGCATGGGACTCCTGCCCCGCTCTACACACACACACACACACACACACACACACACACGAGTGTACTTAATACAGTTAGTAGTCTCTGACTGCTTCTTCCTAGATCAAAGTTGTTGCAGGCACTCAACTAAGTTTAAAGACGAGATCAATCAGGTCTTCTCAAGGCTCAGTCTCAGATCTCGGCTTTCTGCTGCAGATTATTTCAAAGGAGACTATCTTCCCGAAAAACCTCGACCCTCCTTGCTAAAGAGACATTATCCTCCAACAGGGGTGAAGCACGGGCAGAAGACGAACCAGCTCCGTGGTACCGATTCAGGTCCCCATGCGCGCACGGTGCAGGGGACAAGTGCGCACCAAATGAGCCTTGTCCAGTTCCCAATGTCTGACCCATGTTTGGAATTTGGTTTTCCACTGGATTCCTCTAGGAGAATTTCCACCGTCGAAGGGAGAGAGGAGGTCAACTCCCGTTGCCTGGAGGGGCTACGTGAAGCTAGCGTCTTTCACCCCGCCTCCTCCCACGGTGCGTCCCACGCTCTCCCCACAGTGGGCGCCTCAGTACGAAAACCCGCGCTCCCGGCCCTCCCCACGATTGGCGGTCCCCCTTCCCCCGCCGGGTGCGGGGCTCACGAAGCACTCACAAACTCGAGGATGAAGAGCAGGTCGGGGAAGGTGGCGAGCACGGAGAAGCCGCTGGGCAGGGTACTGCCCCCCGACGCCGCTGCGGGGGCCATGCCTGATGCTGCGTGGGCTCCGCTGACCACTGAATCGCTCGCTTGCTCGCTTTGCGGGCCGGTGGCCGCGAAGCCTTGCGTGCGCGTTAAGAGCTAGGCGCCCTGGTCCAGAGAAGGAGGAGCCACAAGCCCCTCCCCCTTAACGGGCAGCGCGCCCAGAGGGACCGGCCGGAGGGCGGGGGTGCCTCCCAGAGCTCACTGGGGTCGCGGGCGGACGGGAGAGGACCCTGGCCGCTCCCGAGCCCACCTCACGTGCTGCAGGGAAATAAACTACTTTGGGGAGAAGCTTCGCATGTTTTGCACGCTTCGCAGAAGATCGCCACCGCTTCTGATTAATGATGGCATCCTCCTCCCCTTCCCCCCTCACCCCGTGGCAGGTTCCCCCAGTGACACCCCTCGGGCTGCTCTGGAGGTGGATTTCTTCGTCTTTCCTCTGCGGCGTCTGGACTCACGCAGGACCTTTTCCAGTCTTGCCAGCGGCTGAGGATTGGGGGGGGGGGGGTCTCTTCCACGTCCTCAGAGCTCTGAGCACCTGGAGCTTCTCCTTTCAGGGAACCGGAGCTGGATGTCAGCCCGAGTGACAGAGGCTTCTGTGGGCTGCCTGCAGTTCTGGAAAGCGATGCCGGGCACGAAGGGGCCCAGCGGAGAAATGGCTCCTCTTCTCGGAAGGGCCCCTCGCAGTCTGGCGCAGCTCCCTGCCCTTCAGGCGGGTTCCCTCTTCTCGAAATGACTTTTTTCGCCTTTGCTCTTGACAGTTATCACCTCCAGTTTTCTGACACCTACAATTTGCTGCTGTGTCTAGGTATGCACGAGGAAAATGGCCCTCCCGTCCCTCAACCCAGGTTCCCCCAGAGTTTTTCTCCAAGTTTCACCCACAACCGCTGGTTCACCCACAACCGCTGGTAGCAGGACATGGGGATCCCCTCTCTGGAGAGGATCCCTCCAATCATCTCTCTTCTTCCTTGTTTCTAGGAAGAACCAGTTAATTTGAATGCATGTTTTCGGATGCAAAAATCTGTGCAGCCTGCTGGCCCTTAGGACACGTGGAGAACAACGATTTTGGGGACTCAATAGGAGAATATGCCTCCACAGCTCCTCCCCACAGCCCAGCTTCACAGCTGCCCTCCACAGCTGCACCCCCACAGTCTCTTCCACAGCCCCCACAACTCTCCTTCACACGCCCCCACAGCCACTCTCCACAGCTGCCCCCAAATTCCCCCAGCCTCCTCTACAGCCCCCCTCCACAAACCCCCATAGCCTCCCCCGCTCCAGCCTCCTTCCAAAGCCCTGTGAGTTCTCTGGGCCTGCTGACCTTGCTGTCAGTACCTATGTGCCCCCATCTCGAAATTCCTAACTCAGTTGTACCAGTCAACAACAACAAACTACCAGATCTCCCTCAATTACTACATAGAAATAATTTTAATAATAAAAAACAATAAAGAGGTCTTAATAAGTGGGGTTTTTTTGTTTTGGCTAAATATTTAAAAATTTTGTTGCCAAATTACTAAGTGTTTGAAAGGCATGGCTCCCTGATGATTTAACTTAACCTGAGGCTCTCTGGAAACTCTAAGAACTTTGAGAAACAAAGGCTTCAGGTCTTTTGTTCATAGGGTCACTATGAGTCTGCTCCACTGGACGGCAATCAACAACAACAAGAAGAAGAAGGCTCTAACTAATTTCAACTAACAAATGCAGCCCTGGAAGCGCTTACCAGTCTATGCCAAGAAATTTGGAGGACATCTGTCCGGATTTCTGGAAGAAATCCTTTTGTTCCCATTCCCAAGAAAGGTGATCCAATGCAAAGTGGAAATTATTGAACAATATCATTAATATTACATGCAAGCAAAATAATGCTGAAGATCATTTAAAAATGGCTACATAAAACATAGATAAGGAACTTCCAGATGTTCAATCAGGATTTAGAATAAGCTGTAGCATCAGGGATAACATTGATGGATTCTGGCTGAAAGTAGGTAATACTGGAAGAATATCTATTTATGCTTTATTTACTAGGCAAAGTCAATTTTGACTGTGTGGATCACAACAAGTTATGGATACTGTGAGAAGAGTGGGAATCCCAGAGAACTTAATTGTGCTCATGTGAAACCTATACCTAGACCAAGAAGCTGTTAAGAAAGGTGTGCATCAGGGTTGTTTACACTTTCCATGCCTATTCAATCTGTGTGCTGAGTAAAGTGTTTTCCCCCCCGCCCTTTTTAAAATTAATTTTAATGAAAGTTTACAGAGACTTAAAGTATCCATTCATTCATTGTTGAACTTTTCTCCCTGCCCACCCCCCCCCATCCAATTCACTATTCTTCTTGAAAGGTAAAAGAAAAACTCTTTCATTGTTATGCAATCCCTCCCCCCAAGTCCACTCCACTGTGCAGCCTTCATTCTGGACTCCGGTCATAACAATAATAATCAATCACAGTTCTCTCCCTTACCTGTTTCAGTGCAGTATACATCATTCCTCCCTTCTTTGCTGAGTAAACTTTTTGAGAGGCTGAATTCTATGAAGAAGAATGTGGCATCAGAATTGGAGGAAGACTCATCAATAACCTGCTTTATGCATATGACACAACTTTGTTTGCTGAAAGTGAGAACTTGAGGCACTTGCTATAGATCAACACAGCCTTCAATATGGATTTCTTCTCAATGTCAAGAAAACAAAAATTATTCCCACTGTAATGGTGGAAAACATTATGATAGATGGAGGAAGAATGAAGTTGTCAATGATTTAATCTTACTTGAATTCATAATCAACTCCATTGGTACCAACAGTCAGGAGATTAGGAGATGTATTACAACGGGAAAGTCTGCAATTAGGGACCTCTCCAAATTGTTAAGGGGCAATGACGTTAGATTGAAGATTAAGGTGCACATGATTCAGGCCATGGTCTTCTCAATCACTTGCTGTGCATCTGAGAGCTAGACCATTAATAAGGATGACAGAAGAAGAACTGCTGATGCCTTTAATCTGTGGGGTTAGAGAGAAGCACTGAACATCACATGGACTGCCAAAGAAGAAACAGATATGTCTTGGAGAAGGTGCAGCCAGAGTCCACCTTGGAGGCAAAAATGATACAGCTTCATGTTGCATACTTTGGACTTGCTGTTAGGAGAAACTATCCTTGGAGATGGACTATACTTGGGAGAGTGGAGAGTCAGCAAAAGAGAGGAAGACCCTCAGTCAGATGGACTGATACAGTGACTGCTGAAATGGGCTTGAGTGTGTCAGAGTTAGAATGGCATAGGATAGGACAAGATTCAGATCTGCTGTTCATAGTCTCTCTATGGGGTATACTCGATGGCACCTAACAACAAGGATATAACTGGAGGTCTGGGCAGTACAAATGGACTCAGATATTAACTGAAAGATTAAGGGTTTGAGTTCATCCAGAGGTGTCTCAGAAGAAAAGTCTGGCAATCTACCTCCAAAAAATCCATCCATTGAATAATCTGTGGGTCACAGCTCTACTCTGACACACACATGTCACCAAGACCTGAGATTGGTTCATTGCCAACTGGTGTTGGTGGAGTCTCCAACCCTTGTTTGATGAAACATAAGGGGAATCTATTTCAGAAAGAGGGAACAGAAGACTAGGAGGCAGCCTACTCGAAGTCTACGTGACTTGTCCCTCCTCTGTGGCGTCATCATCTCAGTGATAGTCCTTTACTTGATGTTCATCTTCCTGACCAGATTCTTCCCTCTAAAGGATGCTCTCCTGCCTTCTTGTCTGCCTGTCCTATCTTTGACACCCTACTCAGCCTCCGACAGGTCAACATTTACCCACAGTCCATGTGGACTGCTACCTTGGCATTACCTGACTGAAGTGGGGGAGTGGAGTTTTGTTTGTACAGAAAGAGTATTGTAAGTAGAGGCAGTTCTGTCTCTACTTTGCAATAGACCTTCTCTGGGTGCTCTGGGAAGTGTCTGCTGATGTAAGTTGTTTGTAAGAATCCCAGAATCATACTTGGAGATCCAGGATGCTATGAAGGAACAATGTGGATTCAAAGGCAGAACATAGGACATTTTTAGAGCCATGGAATGACTCTGGAGCTGTAACAGCAGACACATGAAATTATGCATTTGTCAAAACCTATATGATATTGTAATATCAAGAATGAGTTCCACAGTAACCGGTGGATGTCAGTCAATGCTGCAGGCTCAGTGTTGGTCATCAGTTGGAACACATGTACCTCACCAATGCAAGAAGCTAAGAATAGGAGAAACCACGGGCAGGGGACTCTATGTAATTTTCCTTTCTCCTCCCCTTCCCCCAGTAAATAGAAAAACTTTTAAAAATGGTTAAACAAAACCCAACAGACCAAACAAAACCTCAGCCAGTAGGATTTTACTGCAATGTTCTCAGTCTGCCTAGCAGTGCAGTGGGGGGTTGTGTGGCAGTTGACAGACTAGGATGGTCTGGGGCTCCTGTTAAACAAGGCCAGGGGCAGATGAGACCCTGTATAAGGTAGAAATTAGGAATCAATAACTGTTATGCTAGTCCTAACCCCACCTCAGATGTTTTTGGTGAAGAGATTTATAGAGGGAAAAAAGATGGAGGGAAAGGTTAAGAAGCTGGTCAAAAAGTGAAGGGTAGACCTTGAACTTGAACCTGAGTGTTGTGTACCTGCAAAGTTGCAAGTATTAAGACCCTGGTGGAGATGGACAATTGATAATCACATGCTCTGTGCTGATCATCATCATTGCCTAAATCCAATCTTAGTGTTCATCTCATCCTTAAGGATTGTACATTTGCTCCCTGACACATCGGCGTCAGCTGTCAGCTGCAGCTCCTCTTGTGACTGGGAACCCACAGGAAGTTGCTGGCCCTCATCCCCACTAAGATGGGGCAGGAACCTTAGTCAAAGAGACTTGATTCCACACCGCTGCCTCAATGATGACACATGCTGGGTGGATCCCGGGACTGCAGTTCCATGTCTTGATCTCAGAATGGAGAGTAAAAACCAGCACTTCCACCAGGCCCTTTGTC